ATATATATATCTCCTTGGGAATGACAGATGTTGCAATTTTCCAAATGAGTGAGTCCAGGCTGAAGACGCTTTCAAGAAGAGAAACTTTTACCTAACTTTCAAACACAGAGAACAAACAAGTAAATAAGTTCTGTGCAGAGCTCTCTCCCGGTTTGCAGCAGATCTGCCAAGCTTAAAAGGGAAGAATAAACAAAAAATAAACTAGAAGAACAAACTTCTAGGCCCTAATTAGTCGCTAGGCAACATCACCCTCGTCCATTAGAACTGAATTACTCTCTTTCCTTTCCACCTTTCCACTTCTGCAGCGTGTGAACCTTTACTATTGCTATTTCAACACGAGGAACCTGAGTTGTGTGGAAAGGTGGCATTAAAAAGTTTTAATTAAATAAATAAATGATACAAATATTGGCAGAAAAACAGAGGTATGTGGTTCCAGAAGGCCAATTAATGTTACAAAATCAATGTGTCTGCCATGTGAATGGTCACAAAGATATGTACTGGAAATTCTTTGACAGGAAATTAATTCCCAAGCATGTACTGGCCCAATTTGTATCAGCATCATTGTGTGCAGAAGAGGAGGTGTTATGTAAGCGGACCACCACAGGAGCTTGGTCCCCAAACACAAAGGGGACCTAGGATCCTAGTCCACCCCGAGTCCACCAATAGCTCCCATGGCAGGAAATTCAAACCCTCCAATGGGTACATAGGTGTGCCAGGTGGAGTGGATATAGTTGGCCTTGCATGGCTGTTAGATACGAGACTCGAGGCAGCAGGTGAACAATGATAACAGCTTTATTGAACACAAAGTCCGGGCTTGGCAAGCCACGCCCACATGTCAGATAAGGTCCAATCAAATACAGTACATAAAGACCAATCACTTTACTTCCCTCCAGAACTTCCTTTGTTCAGATAGGTAGGTTTACAATACCTTTGTCAGACTCAAGCTCATACCTTCATACATTCAATTTCCATACACAACAATGGCCGTTAAGTTGGTCTTGTTGTGAAGTACAATAAACGCGTCTGAACACATGTTGTAGTCCGACTCCTGCATGCGGCGAACCCAGTACTTTTCGGGGCGCTTAAGTCAAACAGCCCCGGGAAGCCACAATTTGCCCCACTGGAAAATTTCCATGTACAATTAAGTTTCCCCAAGAGGGCAGATAGCAGTTCTCCAGGGCCATTTCAGACTGGGAAAACAATGTGGGAGGGAGGCTTAAGATCTCTTTTCTTGCCCGCTACAGTCCCAGTCTGAATTGGGCCTGGGAATTAAGTTCCGAGCTCAGAACTCCTAGAGCACATCTGTTGACAATCTACATACCCATGATGTGGACTTGGTAAGTATGTGAATTAGCCCCCAAGCAGCTCATCACAACAATGGTTTCTCTCACCCAGCATCTCTGGAGACATATATAGTCTCTGTAGCATAAGCATTTGAATGAATTAATTTAATATTTCCTGAGTCTTTGTATTTTCTTTTAGACTCATCTTGGGAATGGTAACTCTCAGCAGTATCCTCTCCTCACTCCTAGCAGGAAGTGCCCAGTTCTCAGATCCAGTCATCAAGGTCATTTATCAGCAGTTTTCAAAGGTACTGACCCTGTCCCTTACCGGTACTGCTAGATCCCTAGAGAGTCCAGGATGTGCTGGATTCCCCCTGCCAGCCTAACCCCAGGGAAGAGGATGGGGATGAAGGAGATAGGGGTAGAAACTGAGAGAGAGAAGATGGTACATAAGAGAAAGAGAGAAACCAACTGGTCTGAAGCCACAATACTTGCTAAGACCAATCAGGGGCTTCCTAGGCTAGACTCATATCAGTGGGATGACAAGTATTGTGCTTCCATTCAAGACCTGAAAGATTTTGCACAATATGGTCTGTATGACTAAACAGTTCCAATGCTTATGGTGCCTGAATCAAAAAATGACTGCATGTACACAGAGTCCAAGTACGACTGGGGAAATAGAAAATATGAAGGAGTAAGTATCATATGAGCACACTGGGCAAGTCAATAGGTTGTCACTCTGAGGCAAGATTTGCTGGCATTGTTACACACAGAGATCGATTTCCCACAAGCGCTTCTCCACGCTCGCTCTTTCCTTTAGCCCCGATGGTTCGTGTCAATTTCATACAAGCTGCTGCATGGCCGCATTTTGCCTTGCAGCTTCGTGTGATTTTCCCCGCGTCTACTCAATCCTATTTTTTGAGGATTGAGTAGGCGCAGGGGCAGGGCCGGCCCAAGGCGAGGCTGCGCACTAGGCAAGGCTGCAGGGTGCAGATGCCAACCTCCCGGTGGGACCTGGAAACCACCTCACCAGGAACCCAGTGGCAGGGGGGCTGGGCGCTCGGTTGGCGGCGGTGGCGGCAGCTACAGCAGCAGGTAAGGAGTGCTGCCAAGAAGGGGTAAAGGGCCGTGCGGTCCCGGGGTGCGCCAAGGTGGAGGGCTGGCTGGCTGGCTCAGGTGCCGTCAGAAAGAAAGTGCCGTGGCCTCAAGTTTGCGCACAGGGGGGAGGATTGTGTGAATCAGACAGACTGACAGTCCTCCACCTCGGCACGCCCTGGGACCACGCGGCCCTTTACCCTCTCTTGGCAGCCCTCCTTACCTGCTGCTGGAGCTGCCACCGCTGCCGCCGCCCGAGTGCCCGCGGCGGGAGGAGGTAGGTGGGAGAGGGGATAAAGGGCCATGCGATCCCAGGGCGGGGGGCTGGCTGGCTGGCTCAGGCAGCAGGGCACGCTTACCTCCTGCCTTGCGGTGCCGGTGCCTCTCCCCGCCGGCCATGGGTCGCTAGAGAGGGTCCGGGCGGGAGGGACGTGGAAGGGAGCCTCGGGGATCGGCACTGGGTTTTGGCGGAGGGAGGCGAACTTCGGCGCCCCCATCCAGGGCCTCCCGCTCTAGGCGAGTGCCTAGTTGGCCTAGCGGGAGAGCCGGCCCTGTGCAGGGGAGAAGCTCTGGGGCAAAATGCAGCCACGCAACAGCTTGTGTGAAATTGACATGTACCATCGGGGCAAAAGGGAAGAGCGAGCGTGGAGCAGCGCTTGTGGGAAATTGGCCAGAGTAACTTTGCTGCTGCAGCCTCATACAGAAAGCAGCATAAGAATTGGGTTCACCATGCTGAGGCCTAACTAGAAAAAAGCAGGGAGATGAGCAGTCTCAGCACCCAGCTATACATGACTTTTCCCATGCAGTTTTGACAGTGGAGCTGCTATGCGTGAAAAAACTTTGAATGTATGGACTGAGTCCTAGACAGTTAATAACATGAATTATTTTATGTTTGGAACTTCTTTGCAGATTAGTTTGGATGACACTCTTGGAAAACTTTCACATATTTTGGAAAACGATCACTTTGCTATAGTTGTCCATGAATTAGAACAATGTAAGTGCAATCCCTCCCCCCTATTTTAAAACAAATGAATAAAGCATAATCATGGTGCCTCATGGGGCCGTTACCTGTTAAGTCTTTCATCCATTACCTTTAGGAGGTGCTTAAAGCTCAGAATTATCTACCAGAGAAGGAAGGGGGTTTTTTTAGCCGTGGAGCCTACAGAGAGTGCTACATGGTACACAAAAGGCATTCTTAGATAACGATTGAAAGACAAAGAACATAAATGGCTACCTAATTCCCAATTTGTTTGGAGGGGGGTGTGAGTTGACAGTAGGATTAACAACCTCCAGGGGGGACCTTGAGTTCTCCTGGAATAGCCACTGATTTCTAGACTACTCAGATCAGTTTCCCCCGGAGGAAACGGCAGCTTCAGAGTGCAGATTCCTGGGCTTCCCCTGCTAAGCTCCCTCTGCTCTCCAAACTCTGCCCCTCCCCAGGCGCCAGTCTCAAATCTCCAGGGAACACCCAGGGCAGAACTGGCAACTTCAGTTAACAGCCAGCAGGCAGTCGGTGTTGAGGACAATGTTTTGTGAGGAATGTTACCGTGTTTCAACTCTGGTTTGTTTTAAACAAGCTTCTTTTATGATTTGTCCATCTTTGGAAGAAAATTCTAGCTGTCCTTTTTCCTGACCATAAAAATGAAATCTAGTAGAAACATTGCTATTAAAATTGGCATCTATTTTTACATCACTGACATCAAAACGACACACATTGTATAACAGCTGAAAAAAACATAAAACAAGCAACCAAAAAAATGCAATTTGCCATAGAAAATAGCCAGGTGTGTTATGAAGCTACTCTCAGCTGGGGGGGGGGGGTATTACTTAAAACAGGCACATGGGAAACAAGAGTCTCTTCGACTGCTTTAAAGCAGTTGATTAACCACTAAATCACAAGGCTGTGTGAAGAATTATCAGTCTGTCCAATGATCACTCAGTATATGTACCAGTCTTCTGACTGGAAAAAGATCAAAAGTTTATTCCAGATCTTGGAGAAAACCTTATATCTAACCAGATCTCTCAATGCTGTCTTTTACGAACTTTAATTAAAATTACTAGTTATTCTTGAACATATTGAATAAACCAGAATCACAGTTATACAGAAAACACTAGCATATGTAAATGAGGTTATAAATAAAAAGCACACGTCATCTTTTCTGCTACCTAACCTGCATTTAAAGATAAAATGCAGTTTCTAAAATTCTTAACAAGCCTTTCCTGAAAAGATAAGACAGTGTCACCATAATTTGACAGATTTGGAGGGGTTTTTTAGGTTGTAGCTATTTTATATAGACCCAATTGCATGAGCATCATATGACTTTCCTAAAGCTCTAATTTGTTTTCTCTAAAGGCATTATGTTAGAGACCACTGAGCATTTTGAAGAATAACTTGCAAACTTTGTTCTGTTTTCTATGAGGTTTATTCTAAAAATGAAGGCATTGATTTGTAAGTTACATTTCTCAAGGATGAAGCCGTAGGTTTGCTAGAACAGTGAAAAAACATGTTTGGAGATTTACACAAGAACATAATCAAACTCTCACACTCACTGTGTCAAAGCATCCTAAACAATGGTTTAAAGTTATAATCTGCAACAGTTGAATTCTCAACCATGCACCAAAGGAACAATAACAACAAATCCTTACTTTGAGCTAAATGGACTTCTTAACTAAAGGCAATGTTCCATTGTATATCTCTCTTAACAAACAATAACAATAACCTTTATTGAAATGACATCATTTACATCCACAGTCAAGAAGGAAGGGAACACAACAAATAAACACAACACAACAAATAAATGTAGCCACAGTCTCAATAATCTCAGTCATGAGTGGATAATAGATGAGAAATCTTACCATGATCAGATTGGTCATCATGCTTGTGAAGAAGAAGGCCTAAATAAGTTGCACAGATATCAAAATAAACTATACAATGCAGGAAAACATGTTCAATACTTTCTGTGTCCTTTGAACCACAGACACAAAACCTATTAGAATGTGGAATTTTCTTAAACCTCCCATGCAATACGGCAGAAGGAAGGACATTAAAATAGGCTAACATAAAAGCTCTAGAAAGGTAAGGGGAGGTCAAACAAGAAAAATATTCTGCCAAGGAACCACTTGGGGCAGATCCCCCCCACCTCAAAGGGGAGCATCTACCCAAGGTGAAGCTTCTGAGTTCTTGCAGTTAAATATCTTTAAGTCTGTGTTTAATCAAGGCAAAAACAGTCCTGTCAGGGAGGGAACCTAAGTCATCCAAACTAAACCCAATTATAGCGATTTTCTATACCAGATAATCATGCAGATGATAGAGATTCAGATAAGATAAATGCAATAAGACTATTGGAGCTACTCCTAAAATGTAAGCGTAGCCAAAATTAAATTGTGATAATCCAGTCTCTGATTGGTCTCCAAGCATATAGCAGCATAGGACACACACTCTGGTAGCCCTAATATTTTCCTTAAGAAGTCATATTGTATTTGTTCTACTGTTTTTATAAAGTCTGTGATCCAAATTGGTATGACACACAGCAGTTTGGCACTAATTTTATGATTAAACACTCTAAGGGCTACAGGAATGAATTGGTTGCCCTTAATATTAAAAAAAAGAGTGATTGCCAGAACATTATTATTCACAGATTTTGCCACTTCTGTTCTATGGGCTATCCATCTAGCGCTGTAGTGAAAATACACTCCTAGATATCTAAAGCTTTTTACCTGCTCAGTCCTTTTCCCTCTTATACTCCACTTGACAGGTTTTCAGGTATTCTGAAAGCCATTATTTTTGATTTATCAAAATTTAAGGTCAAATCATTCAGATCACAGTAGTTTAAAAAATGAGAGAACATCCTTTCCATCCCTATTTCTGACAGGGAGAGTAGCACAGTATCATCTGCATACAGAAGCAGCAGGACATGTCTCGCCCCTAGTTTTGGATTGTGACCATCAATTCCTTCCAAGAAGGAGGCCAAGTCATTTAGGAAAAGATTAAATAATAATGGAGCTAATATGCAGCCTTGCTTTACTCCTATGTTGATTGGAAAGTCGATTTCTTTTAATATACTACCTAACCGTCCTTCCTGTGTACTTCCAGGCAATGCTGATGGAACCTCCTACACAAAACAGATGGTGTTTGGTGTGGTCACAGCCGTTGACCTGCTCAGCTTTGTCACCCGAAAAAACAACTCTCAGAAGCTAAACAATGGAACACTCAGTTCAATGTCTTCTGAAAAAAAATTGTCCTCAGCAGAGTAGGTGAAAAAAATGACTGAGGACTTTTAAATATACAATTCTGGTTTTGTTTTCCAGAATGGCTAGTTTTCCATGTTAATTAGCCTAACAGTTCTTGGTTTGCCACGTTTCATATCATCCTAAATGCCACCAAAGAGAATAATCTAGGATCAGAATGATCTGACAAGAGTTTTAAATTTAAAATGAGTTGCTTCTCTGTGTAAGATAAGATTATTGGAGAGAAAGAATTAGAAGTAAATGAATTCTCCTTTGAGATCTTTCTGCATTGATTTCACTCTCAGTTTCTGTCTTAACATTAACTGATAAGCACATTTGAAATTTTGCTGACAGAGCAATAAAGAACTACTTGTTTTGGGCTACGTTAAATGATATGATATATCTCTAACATATGTTATAATGTTCACTCTCTCATGGTTATCTACTTTTTGCCTTTTATATATGCAATCTTTATACTGTTGTACATTCTTATTATCAATAAAAGTTTGAAAAAAAGAACTACTTATTATTATAAAAATTGCCTGAATTACATGTTGCGGAAATGATAATACAATTTGCTAGTATATCCCCCAGAATTACACCTGATCTCCAGCCTACAGAAATCAGTTCCCCTGGAGAAAATGGCTGCTCTGGAGGGTGGACTTTATGGAATTGTACCCCACTGAGGTCCATCCCCTTCTCAAACCCGGCATTTCCCAGGCTCCACCCCCAAATGTCCAGGAATTTCCCAATCTAGAGTTGGAAATCCTAAGTACTGTTTTGCTAGTGGAGGGGCGATGCATAAGGTCTTCTATTTATTCATTTGTTTATTTATTTATAGTCCACCTTTTTAACAGGGACTCAAGGCAGATTACGCATAGTGAGTAGTACAGTCAACAAAATGGGACATTCAGTAACCAATGCATTCGGATTTTAGAAGTCTGGAACCACCAGAAAAACCTGAAGCACGGAATAAGTATTAACATGACAAGCAGTAGAGAGATTACATAATAGGACCCTTCTATAATAAGCTGTACACAGCAGTACAGACCACAGTCCTTAATCATTTATCCAGGTAAGTTTGTAAACCGATCTGTAGAGTGCAACCCTACTACCTGCAGAGAAAAACCCTCTTGAATAGTTCAGTTTTCGATAGTTTGCAAAAGGCCAGGAGACTAGGAGCTATCCTGACCTTCTTGGGCAGGCCATTCCAGAAAGGCAGAAGCCACAATGGGGAAAGCACGTGTACAGGCATTTGTCAATTTTGCCCAGGGCTCTTTTTGTAGAAAAAACCCAGCAGGAACTCATTAGCATAACAGGCCACACCCAACAGCAGAAACGTATTAGCATATTAGGCCACACCCCTGACAGCACAGCTCATTAGCACATTAGGCCGCACCCCCATGTTACCAGAAGTGTGGTTATTCAGCCACACCCACCTTTTGCTTGTTATTCTGTTTACCTTGTTTGTTGTCAAAACCCAGGGCTTTTTTGTAGCAGGAACTCTTTTGCATGTTAGGCCACACACCCCTAATGTAGCCAATCCTAATGAGTTTCTGCTATTGGGTGTGGCCTATTATGCTAATGAGTTCCTGCTGGGTGTGGCCAACTTGGGAGCCAGCCGGAACTCCGTTCCTGTGTGTTCCTGCCCAAAAATAGCCCTGATTTTGCCCATTTGCCAGCTGGCACCTGCAGAAGCCTCAGCTGACATGAGCACTGTTGTCATGGTAGAGCATAAAGAGAGAGGCAGTCCCAGAAACAAGAAGTGCCAAGACCATGAAGGGTTTTGTATGTGATCGCTCATACCTTAAACTGAGCTTGGTAACAAATGGGCAGTCACTGGAGTGTCTGCAGAATGGGAGTAATATGCAGGCTCCAGCTAGCTTCTGCTAATAGTCGAGCTGCAGCATTTTGGAGCAGCTGGAGTTTGAGTTGATTTTGAGGGGAGACCAATGCCCAGTTGTGCCAGACAGTCTAGGTCTCGCCTCTATCTAAGAGCAATCAATGAAAGCTGACAGAATGTTAACACATGGCATTCACTGCCACAGGAGGTGGCAGTGGCTACAAGCATGGACGAGCTTCAAGAGGGAATTAGATAAGCACATGGAGCAGAAGTCCATCAGTGGCTGTTAGCCACAAGGTATAGATAGGAGCTCTCAGGCTGGGGCAAGTGATGCTCTGTATTCTTGGTGCTTGAGGGGGGGGCAACAGTGGGAGGGCTCCTAGTGTCCTGGCCCCACTGCTGGACCTCCTGATGGCACCTGGTATTTTTGGCCACTGTGTGACAGAGAGTTGTACTAGATGGGCCATTCGCCTGATCCAACATTGGTTTCTCTTATGTTCTTAATGATGAGAGAGGGAGACTTGGAAAACAGCAGTTAAAAATGACATTTAGGAGCCAGTAGCAGAGGAGTTGGCAGCTTAGGAGCGGGGGGGGGGGACAGAGGATGTCTGACAAAGTAAAACTGTGAAGAAGAGCTGCTTAGAGCAGGCTGAAAATAGTCAATATGTAACCAAAGGATCTCAAGTGCAGGAATATGATCTCAGTTCAAAAGTTCAACGGAAGCAAAATGTTGTTACTTATACCTTACCTTCCTCTTAAAGGTGCCGCTGGACTCAAACTTTGTTCTTACCTTCCTCAGTGTTATGTTCATATCATAAATAAGTTTTCGGGGGGGGGGGGTTGCGGAGCCGCCATTGGATATGGCCACTTAAACCGATGCTCCGCTTATCCCACTCCCTGAACTCCCTCAGATAAGCACAATTTATTATCAAATATTGTCAAAATGGAGGAAATAATGGTAATCCCACAGGGGTATCAAAACTAATAACAACAAAGAGTGTTCAATCTCCCAGTACGTCAACTAGTAGATCGGAGCCGAAAGCACTGGACCTCGCAATGGCGAAAATGGCTGATGAGAACTCAATCGCACGACTGCTGGAGTGTGCTTTTGACAAACAAGATATCCCGGCAATGTTTGAACACCTGGAAATCAGACTAAGCAAAAAAATATCTCAATCTATCCAACCGATAAGGGAACAGCTTCAGGACATACAAAGTACACTAAGAATCACAACACAAACTGCAGAAACGCGTTGAAAATGGGCTCTGCAATGAAGGTGGACATCCAAGATCTCTGCAGATCTCTGACACACAAACTAAGGACAGGCTGATTTCAGTTGAATCGCAGCTCAAACAACTGAAATTAAAATTAAGAGGGGTCCCCAAGGGGGCGGAGGAAGCAGAGAGTACAACTAAATTTACAAAGGAATGGCTGAAAAATATCCTAAATCTTGAGTCTCCCACAGAGCTGAATATAGTAAGGGCATTTAGACTAGGCTCGTTATTGAACCCTTATTGGAGGGTCCTCAGAGACGTACTTTTGCAGCTAGCAGACTGGGAGTCTCATCTGAGAATACTTCAAATTGCCAGAAACAAAGGTTTTCTCTCCCTCAACGAAGCACAAATATCTGTCTTTCCTGACATCCCACAGGATGCACTTGTAATTCGATATAACCTGAAGCCTGTTACCTTAAAACTGCGACAGGCTAATATAAGATATAAATGGCTCCCCTCTGGCAAACTACAAGTTTCTCAACATGGGAAGACTTACCATGCAACATGGGAAGACTTACCATGCGACAGATGAAGATAGTGGTTTGAAACTGCTGCAAGCATTAAGGATCCTAGACGACTCAGACCTCCGCAGATCGCACAAAAGAAAGTTTCAACTATCTACAACGCCGGAAAAGTTAACAGAGGCTGCGGTCACACGTAACAGAAGCCACACAAGTGAGACGGAAAACAGCCGGAGTTTCCGGGCGCGATCTCACCAGCACATCTGGGAAGCGTAGCACTCCTGTGGCTCAACCGAGGCTTCCAGCCGAAACTGCGTGGCAAAAAACGAGTACCTTGGAGGTACTAGTTTCCGGAAACTGCGGGGCAAGGGCGGGCGTCTGATCGCGTTTCCAGTGGCATCCGGCGCCCGCCCGCAATGTTTTTTTTTGTCCAAGTCTCTGTGGATGCGCATGCGCACCCAACGGAGCATGCGCATTTGTCATGTACACAAAAATAAAAAACAGTTTGCGCTTCTTCGTTGTGCGCCGGCTTGTCCTGTGATCGGCACCTCTCCCTTGCCATGGAACCTCCATGGTACCTCCACAGGAGGTCTGATCACGTAACTGCGCAGTAGTTTGCCCCAGGGCAAACAGCCACGCTTCTCCTCTGCAGTTTCCTGCCCGTGTGACCGGGGCCTAAGATCCCTATTCGATCAAACTCCACCCCTGAACCGGAAAATATTGCTGACGCCCCGGCCATAGCGTAATAAACATTAAATTTCTCTTTAGCACTAATAGTTCAACTCATAAGTCTTTGTTTGTTTTTTTTTTTAGGGAAAGAATAACAAGAGGGGGGAGGGGTCTGCATCTGCCTCTTTTACAGGACTCAACTGGAGGCTTACCTCAGTTCCATGGAAAAGGACAACTGGTCAGCCTTACCTTTCCAGCACAGTCCTTCATCTGCCATTTTACCATCTGTTGATTGATTTTGTATTGCACACTGTATTGTACTTTAATCTTGTGGATTTGTTATTTAGGATTAGAACCTAATTTCAGCTCTTTTAGGTCTTTATTGATTGTGGGGGGGAGGAGGGAGGGGGAAAAGGGGTGATTGTTTTTTGAAAATTTTCTTCATTAATTTGACTGATCAGTTTAAATAATTAATTTAATAATTAATTGATTTCTAGCTTGAATGAAATAGTTTTAGCGATATATTTATACTTACACTTGCTCTTACTATATTAATTCCTTATTTTATTTAGTTACACTCCTAAATACTTCCCACATCTAATTGTAATATTATAAATTTAGGTATTTATATATTTATACATTTTGACTGTATTTTGTTTTTATTTAATATAGCTATATACTTCTATGTTTATATATATTTATATATTTATACATTGACCACACTTAAATCTTATAATATATAGCTATATACTACTATATTTATATATACATATATATTT